TCAAGACCCTTCCTGAGTTTCGAGTGCTTTTTCCTCAAGCTAGAGGTCAATGAGCGTTGTTTTTGAGTCACCTTCGCAACCTCGGTCTGTACCTCGACTCCAGGGTCTGTTTGAATATCGATAACACGCAGTAGCTGCTGACTTGAACGGCGAATAAGTCTGACCCGCTGATCACTGTCTTCCATGTCTTTCATKGCATTCTGTTTCAATGGAGACAAAATGAAATAAAAATCRCCACTACACTATTACACCTTTAGGTCACCCCGATATTACGGACACCTCGTTATTAAGGACAGTTAATCCCTGCTCATAATTAAAACCAAATAACTCCCTTTGCAACTCTCATGCAAGTTGACTGTAATTACCTGTATCATTGCATTAAAATATCAGCATCATCATCACCACAACCATCATCAAATTGTGATTAACATTCCTAGAACACTTACCTCAACCTTCCCAAGTTCCTCTTCACTGACAGGAGCCTTCATGACAGCTGAATCTTCAATCTCACTAAAAGCCTTCTCCACAGGTTCAAGTTGAGCACGATACAATGAAATGTGTTCTTGCGCCCTTAAAATCTTTTGCTTTCGATCCTTTATCTTTTCTTTGAGTTCAACCAAAGCAGCTTCGCAGATGTTGATTCTTTCAGCAACATCCTTTATAGCTTTTGGATCGTCCTTCTTCATCGAAGTGATGGACCTGGCTTTTATTTCGGCGTCAGATAAAACTGCGAACTGTTTGTTCGTGTTCTCCTCTAATTCTTTCACTTCTTCGAGTTGTTTGGACAATACTTTGTGATCATTGCTGATTGGTTCGAAATTATCCAGCTGGACAAATGCAACGTTGACGTACTTTTGTAGTTCGTCCGTAGAATTCACAAATAATGTGATTTCCTCCACCACCTTCTCCAGCCACGTGATATGTACGGTGACATTTCGCCGTAACGCTGCGACGCGATTGGATAATTTCTTGACGCGCTGTTTCACGGGTGTKAAATTGATTTTGGGGTGATCTTCGTTCTTGACTTGTTCTCCAACATTTTGGACGTCTGTTTCTAGAGTCTGCACGTCTTCCTGGAGGACCTGCAAGAAAGAGTACGAAAATTATGAATAATACACAAATAGAATGTTATGGGAAAAATGATCACAATAAGAAGAGATTAAAATAAGCTCGTTTGATAAGTTGTAAGAAAGTGATGTCTACTTCACGTAATTGAATACGACTTAAAAACTACAACCTTTACAATGTTTCTTCTTTAATGCTATTACCTTCATAGCTTGAAGCATCTTCTCGCTCTCATCCACGTCAATACCTTCATGATGAGACTCTTCCAAGCTTTTCTCTGCCTTTTTGGCTGAATTCTCTAAAGGACCGAGCAGCGATCTGTATTTCTTTACTTTGCTGTCGGCCTCTGAAACCTGTTCTCTTCGATTACGATAGAAGTCGTTAAGTGCGGTCCAGCGTTGAATGGCGTCATCGGTTTCAGCTTTGACCTCAGGTACTCCGTTTGTCACGTTGGCAGAGTCGCAGGAATTCAAAAGATCATTGGAATTGTCAACTAATGACTTGTAAACTGGCCGATGACCTTCAATGTCCTCTTGTAGGAACTGTTGCAAGAACTGTACACAATAATTGCTTGTTAGAAATATCTAACTTGCAAGCCCTTGTCAAGCGYGAAAAAAACACAATTGACTACCATTCAAGCTTTTGACCACAGTTGACGGTGCTATGGGAGCACACAGTTCAACAGTCAACTTAGATATTTTGGTTCGAAGACTATGTACAAAAGAACGCACACGAGGCTCCGGGAAAACAATGGATAATCTTGATATATTTTATTATTTCCCCGGAGCCTCGTTTGCAATTCTTTTGGTGCATGGTCACTGAACCAAAATATATAAAGTTGGCTACTGTCATAACATTTTTTTAACAAGGCAATAAGATACAAAAAAAAAACGAAAGAAAAAAACACAATCAAACGAAAAAAAGAGATATGTCATACATATATTTACCTTGAGTAAATCTCTCTCTCGTCCGAGCGCATGCTTCTCACATAACACCTCACCACAGTCCCCAACGATATCCTCCATTTCACTTAGAGCGGGGATGAAGTTCTCCATCGCTTCTGAATAATTCTGCGCAGGTGGCGCCACCTCATCCAGTTGCTGCTGACGTTCATCCGTCTTTTCAACAAGGCTGTTCCAACGTTTTTCAAGGTCATGTAGTGATGTTTTAAGCGTGTCGGCATAGTCTCCTGGTTGTGACTCGGCAAGGATTTCTTTTCCTTGACGTATAGTGTCTTCAATAATAACGCCGTGCATGTTTACTTCCAAGTAAATCCCCTATAGGTAAAAGGAAATAAAAATATGAATAAAGAAGGAATAGTGAAAAGTGAGAAAATAGAATTGGACGATTGAGAGAAAAAGGTGGGAAAAAGGGAATTTTGGGGAGAGAGGGACCAGCTGGTTCAACGATGGGAATAAGTTTAAGGAGATATCAAATTTACAAAGGGAAATTAAGAATATCGCTTTATGGCAGCCATGAAAATTTACCTCATGATCAAGTTTCTGTTGTGCAATCACAATGTACTTGGCATTGACTGGTTCTTGTTGATCCAGAAGACCTTCCATCTCATTGAGTTTCATTACAGCCTCGTCAAGTGAGGTCTGATAGTCCTGCCCTTCAACAATGACGTTCTTCAGTCGAGCCTGTCGACTAACGACTGTCGCTTGGAGTTTATCGTATTTGGGCTTGACTTGGTCGAGTTTKTCTTTGACTTCGGCGATCGTTGCAGGATCATCCTTTACTGTCTTTACAATATAGTTCTTTATTTCTTCCATTGTCTCCAGTTTAGTATGGTACGGTGGGAACTGAGCGATGATCGGCTAAAATTGTAAAAGGTAACATTGAATTAACGTATTGTAATGTCTTGTAATGTCTTGTAATGTTTGTAACCCCCGAAACAAGACCTTAACGACAATTTCCTTTTAAACCTTTACATATTTCACACGCTTAGGTGTATACATATTGTCTAAATCGGCATAAAAAAAACAAACCCGGTAAATAATAGCGCATTGGTAAGATTTTAAATCGTGAAATTTACTGCCTCAGTTAACGGCAAGATCCAATCATATCTCATTCAACTCCAGTTTACAAACAATATCATCTCATTCATAACTCTCTAAGTTATATGTCATAGTTCATATCCAATTGGTTTTTGACAGATATATGTCATGCACTACACAAATCTCTACAACTTACTTGTAATTCTTCCAACTGTGTTTTGGCCTCCTCACAGTCGCTGCTTACAGGCTCAAAGTCGTCCACGACTTTCTGTATCTCAACCAACCAGATATCAACCTCCTCAAACAACTCCATGAAGACGACGAACTTGTCAAGTCTCTTTGCCATGTTTTGCTTGACTCTCTTGATTTTTCCAGCGCTGAGGTCGTACTGGTAGCTAACGTCTGCCATTTGCTCCACATACTCAGTTTGTTCAGCTTCGAGTGGGGTGCTGAGTTCAACGATGTCAAGTTCAGCCTTTTGGTTTTCGAGGTCAGCAATCAAGTCCTCTACGCGTTGAAGTTCTGCTTTACCTTGTTCAACGTCTAACCCAAAGTCTGCTTCGGACTCCAAAAACGCGTCCAGTTCATCCAACGTTTCTTTGAYAGGATCTATCGCACTCTGATATAAAGCGACATTTTGTTCCACAACGTTCGCATCGAGGTTGGCCGTTTTAAGTTTTTCATAGCGCGTGTTTGCATCACATACTTCATTGTCAATTGGTGCCGTGTCGATTCTAATGGGAAGATCTTTACAGAATTCTATCAGTTCTTTAGCACTTGTGTTCAGAACCTTATGGTTGCCACTTTCATCTTCAACGGCCATTTTGAATTCCTGTGAACACAGGTATGTAACAACATTATGATGACTTCGCTACTTATTACTACTTAACGATATTCAAAATTGAAAATAGGAAGTTTAATGTACGGAGTCAGATTTTCCCAAATATCGACCTCTTATATTCAAGAAATGTTATTTTTAACTGATGCATTTTTGCAAGATCAATCACGTTAGCGCTTTACCTTTATTTCTGACTTGAGCTTAGGGACTGTCTCCTCATCGATCGACGTAGTGCTGAGAACATCCAGTTTTTCCTCAGAGTCATCCAAGAATCCAGAAAACCCTTCAACAGCAGTCTGGTAACGTTGGACAAGGGGTGCAAGCTGATCAAGAAGCTCCTTACGTTCGTTGGACTTGTCTTTGACGTTATCAAATCGCCGGCTCATGTCTGCTAGCTTATACTTAAGGATGTCGCGTTCTGGGCCAAGGTTCATTGTTTGGAGTAAATCATTACCGGCTTTTTCGACGTGTCCAACTGTGTCCTCATAGTTAGAAATCTCTTGGTGGAGAGTCTATACGAAAGTAAAAATATTATACAGTGCTCCATTACCAACTCTTTTGTCTTTGCGTAATCCGAACCCTATCAGCGCGTATTGTCCAAAAGGTAATGATACAATAAAGTATTACTATGTTCACTCACTTGTTGTTCCCTCTGCAAGTTGTTTACCACCTCTGTTCTCAAAACTGGAGCCTCTTGTTTCTCCTGCTTCTTCTCAACCTCAGTAAGCCACGCAACGATATTGGAAAGAGCAACATCGAGTTCTTGAGATTGGTACATCATAACCTGTAGCCTGGATAACCGATCAGCCACTACGGCAAGAAGAGCATCGTAGGCTTCCTCGTAAGGATGGAGCTTGGTAGTAACGTCATCCTCAACTGACGCACCTTCGCTTGCTTCCACAAGCTTGTTTCCAGAATTCTGTGCAGTAGCAAGTAGTGGTCTTTTGGCAAGTAACGTTTCATGAAGCTCCTGTCAATAACAAAGACGTTCAATGATTAGAGGTCATTATGACATCACACTGGTTTATAACAGAAAGAAGTGTAAAAGTCGGATTGAGGCTTCATACAGCAACATGACACTTTTATGTTCTGGTTGAGACTGAACAACTTGTTGAAGCTCAGATCGCATAACTATCGCATTGTCCTGTAATTGTGGAAAGTCATGAACAATAAAGATATATTCCTGATGATAATCATGATGGAATCATTATCGTTAGATGATGCTGTTATTGCTGATGACGCGGATTAGCAAGAGGATATATTTGACAAAACAGAAGCCGGAAAAAAACTAACCTCAACTTCCTTCAATTGACGTTTTATTTCTTCAGGTTCACTGCTGATTGGTTTGAAACTCTGGACGGCCAACATAGCTTCAGGAAGCCATGATTCAAACTGATTCAAGGCCCCTTGGAAAGCCTCCACATTATCAATCACATTTTCAAGTTTGATTTCCTCGCGTTCAAGCTCAGCACGATCAGCTTCAAACCTGTCATTGAGCTCTGCTAGGTCGTCTTCAATTGCAGCCGCGTTAACAATCTGAGTATCTGCTTCGTTTAGTAAATCTTGACCGATAATGTTTGCGGAGTCGAGATCACCCTTTGCATTTGCTAGTGTTGATGAAAGAACCTGTGGGAAAAGGGGCAATAGATTCAGATTGTGACTATAAGACACTGGAYGAGCTGAGGCCAATGTGTAATAACAATAATCGCAACTAGATGAAAAGATGTATKAAGACGTTTATTGGTAWGACCCAAAAACTGTTGGTAATATAAAAAAAAACTTGAACTAATCAAATCTTATTTATGTTCAAATAATGTGTTTATATATCAGTATAATTCTCACCATCAAAGTGTCCCTGTTGGCCTTAGCCTGATCAAGATCTAAACCAACATCAAACTGCTGTTCCAATACTCCCTCCGTTCGCTGTAGTAAGTCATTCATCTTGTCTACCTTCTCATTGTATGTTTGTAATTGTCTCTTAGTTGTTTCTAGTTTTTGCTGTTTGTCTTCCACTACTTGATTCATCACAGCCCAGCGGTTAGCAACCTCTTCATTGATTTCTTCGATAGGTTCGAGACCAGATGCAATATTTGCCTTTTCACATGCCTGTTGCAGGTTTTGTGCAGCTGTGATGAAGTGTTTGTAGACTGGATCGTGGTTGAATATATCTTGACGCATTTCCTGTTGCAATAAAGTGATGGCGAACAGTTAAGAATGGTTATAAGTTCATCTTGGATGATTGTGACACTAATTCAGCATCAYTGCTACTACATTATGGATTCAAATTTTGGTGTGATACCAATGAATTAATGTAGGACTGACGCGCAATTACAATATTGATGAATTATGGAAAAATATCAAACCCACAATTATAAACAACCAAACAATCTAACAAAAGAACAAAATAAGAAAAATGAATAAATAAACAAAAAYAGCTTAATTTGGTTTACTCAGCAAATTATCTAAGCCCAGGTGAYATAAATTAGCGTTCTCCGTGCTGAGGTAAGAAAAGAGCAAGCAGCAAAAAWGTTTTAACAAAGTTTTTACCTTGACGAGCTTTATTTGTGAATTTAATGAATCTTCATCGCAAAGCACAGGTTTCATGTTGACGACCTTCGTCTCAATGTCTCTCATCCATTGATTCAAGGCATTATAAGCGTCATCATAGACCTCTGCACTGGGGAAAACAGTCTCGATGCACTTCTGTCGTACATCTGCTTTGTCTTTGACAGTTTCCCATAATGTCTGTGTAGCGAGGACACGGTTTTCTAGTACGTCCCTGTCTGGACCTGGCTGAGTGTCAAGAATGACGTTGCGAGCAGCAGGGAAGAGGTACTCCGAAATTGGGACCAGGCTAACACATTCACGAATGACACCCTAGAAAGAATATACAACATTTAAACATTTCATTTTATAATATTATAATCTTGACTAGTGAAGATTATAGTGACTCCTTAATAAATGATCAAACAAATCAAAAATTAAACAAATCAAAAACGACAGGTTTCTCTCATGATAGAAAATAGTCAAATTTTACACTTTACTGAAGCAACAACTTTGATATAAATTAAGACAAATCAGATTACAAGTTTACCTCGTGGTTTTTCCGTTGGTCTTTGATAACGACATACTCAGCTGACACRGGCTTGGCTTTCAGCATCTTTTTATCCAGCACACAAACACGCTTCTCGAAATGACCAAGAGTTTCATCCACACGTTCTTTCTCAGTCAGCGCAGACTCAAGACGACGGCGTCGATCGCTAAGTTTRATAGAAACCTCATCGATGGAGGATTTTGCGCGAGATATTTTGGTCTTGATTTCACTCAAGACTTCTTCTTGGTTGTCATTTTGCTTGATTATCCACTCTCCTGTCTCTTCCATGGTTTCGATCTTGCGTCGGTGAATCACGACCTCGTCCTCGAGATTCTAGAGAGGCAGAAAAAACATTTATTGAAGGGAGAGATCAATTTGAGCCGCAATCACATTTTCAGAGAACATATTACTATTGCCCGTTTTCGTGAATATATTTCCCTTGCAATCTATTCTGAATGTCTGTCATTGAAAAAAAAAAGGAAACGGAACAGTATTATAAGGACAGAGTTATGATTAATTTGTATTTGTTCCAGGTCTCCTGTACAACCAGAAACTACTCGCCCCCCCTCCCTCCCCCGTATCTAATTGCTCGCGCGTAACAGCCTCCTGCCTATGAGCTTGTAAATTCTTTGATTGCCTCGTAAGATATTAAACATTTTTATTATCTGTCTGAAATTGATTAACAGAATAAACTTGAGCGTTGCCTATCACGTGGCATGTGACTCACCTGTACGTGCTGAAGCTGATCCCTTACGTCTTCGATATTGGTCATAACGATTTCCACGGTCACAAACCTCATGATGCCCATGACCTTGACCTCGACCTCTTGGCCAGCGCTGTCAAACATCTCGACATTCTTGATGTATTTCTCGAGTTTGACTTTACGTTCCTTCAGTCGGACCTGCATGACACGGTTATCTTTGATGATGGTAATGATGTACTCGTTGTTGGTTGTTTGTTTGGACAGACGAACCAGTTTGTACTCGGTGTCTTCCAAAACTTGGATTGTGTTCTAAAAGAACGAAATAACAGATGAATTACAGTCGCAAATTTACTGAAATAGTACTCATGACTTTCCACGCAGGCAATACTAAACAATCATCCACAACGTCATTGCAAGATGTTACGGCATTAAATTAGCTTTCTTAAATCCAAGTGTAAAAACAAAATACAGCAATTCTTTGGCGYTCAGGCCATATTGCTCTCAATTCACAAAAACACTTACATCAACTTTCTTGAGTTCTTTTCTGACTTGATTGACATCAGTACCGTACGCTGGCTCTTGTGCAAGTATGCTCTCTGCATCGTCCATAGCCTGTTGCATGGGTCCCATAACCTCTCGTAGTTGAGCCATCGTCTTGTCTGAACTCTTAAGGATTTTTTCTCCGCCAAGAACGGCTGCGCTGTGCCGCTCCCAGCGCCTTTTTGTCTCCTCTCGATCACCGATTACATAGATGGCATCTGTGTTGATATTCAATTCGTGGCAAATGTTTATAAGCTCTTGGGAAGTTTCTACAAGGTTGTTGTAGACAGGTCGATGGTTGTCCAGTCTTTCTCGGAGACCCTAAAGAAGAGTTTCATTAGAATTCAGCATTTGGAACATGACTATAAATGTTTGTATGATATATATGAATCGTTACATTGTCGCGTGTAGAGCGGATTTCGTATGAGTGGGAATCGAAAGGTACTGTACTGTGACCGTAATCGTACTGTAACCAAATTCTAGTGCCCCATTTGTCCACAAAAATTGTGCAGGCCAGGTCTGGTAACTGTGCGGTAACCGTGCGGTAATTTCTACCGTACGTTTCCCACCCATACGAAATTGACTCTATCATCGATGTCTTTCAGTTTAACGATATCGGTCATTTATATCTTCGAACAATATTTGTATCTGTTTAGCCAGTTCGGACATATGTAGGTGCTTTAGCTACATTCATCTTACTTTAGCCAGTCATTTAACATTTTCAAGAATGACAAACAAACCTTAATGACATTCTTCTTTTCAACGAGGGACTCCAAATCATTGATGCCCGATTCCAATGACAGTTCCGCAAGGGTTCGCTCGTCTTGTCTTAACCATGTCTGAAATTCGGTCCTCGTTTCGACATAACATACAACAACGGGGTAYAGTCGATCCATCTCCTTACGTCGTTCGGCCATTGATCGTTTCACGCTTTTCCAACGTTCGGCGAATTCGGTCATCGTTCGTTTCATTTCTTCCCTTTCTGCCCTGGAKTCCAAAAGTTCGGATTGTTCCGAGCAGTGGTTTTGAATGTCATGGTAAACTGATTCATAGGCTTTGATTTCTTCCATTAGAACCTGGAAGGGAAAGAACATTAGTTCAATAAAATTTGATAACATTCCCGCATTGGTACGTCATGATTTGTCCCTATACTTGCGATGTCAACTCGCCCCAAATTTACATTACTAACTTTTTCCACAGGAATCACAAATTACCTGTTGTTCTTTGTTCTGTTTCTTGATAAGCACAGGTTTAATAGATAACATCATCTGGGATTTGACTTTCTCCTCAGTCTGCGTCAACCATCTGTCAAACTCCTCAATTGTCTTGTCAAAGTCTTGCTGTTTGTATAATGCGGACTGCAACGCTGCTATCTTATCACGTAGCTTATCTTCTACTTCAATGTATTCATTTGTCACGGTTTGGATCTGAAAATCAAAGTTTAACAGTGAATTTCGAGTCACGAAAGTCAGCCAAACAAGACGCGAATAGAAATCTAGATGCAGACAACAGAGGTCCTATGAGTTAAGAATTTGAATAAATCCTTCTTATTAAAGAGTGTTGACACACGCAGGTTCCCTTAAGCGTATTAGACTTCTTTGTATTGCAGGTTTACCTTGTTGGTAAGATCTTTCACAACTACTTCATCATCAGCGTTTTTGTGTATAAGCCCTGAGCCAGCTTGCTGTAGAGATCCGAGCACTGGTTTAATTTGATACATCTCAATCTGCAAAGCCTGTAAATCAAAAATGTTATTATTATTCTCATTTTTAAGTAGTGATGCGTCCGGAACGCCCAGAAGCATCGCAGGCCATGTCCATGATAATCATTTTCAGCAATGTTATCGTTATCATTTTAATCATAAACAATACCATGATCATCATCATTAGGCAGATACAGCTATTTCAAAAAACGTTGTCGGGGAGAACGGCGAACAGCGATTGTCGAAGGGAGATTGCCCGACCGAAAGGGACTATGGTCACACTGTTTTGACAAACAAAATTTCACCTATTGGATTCACCTTACATAGAAATGGAGACCAAATCTATCCAATGTTTACCACAGACAATCTTACATTACAAATCAGTTATTATTGCCTTTCCACTACCAAATCCCATGACTACTTTCGGTCGTGCAATCGACGTTCGACCATTGACATTCGCTATTTCATCCGACAACCTTTTGTGAATTAGCTATATACTACCAGTTATACAACAATAAAAAAAAATCTAACATACCTTGAGCTCATCGAGCTGCTTTTTAAGCTCGTTAGGATCGTTACTCAAAGGCTCGTCTAATATCTTCTGATCCACTTTATCAATTTCATCGGACTTTTCTTTCAGGGCCTTCAAGAACTTTTCGATATTGTTATTCTCGATGGCATCTCTTTGTTTTTCCAACTGTCGTTTTACGTTTTCATAACGATCGTTCGCTTCTTTCTGGATTTGACGAAGATCTTCAGGCTCTCCGTTGGCTGYTATYAAATTCTCAGCCAGTTCGTCTGATAGGGTATTCATTCGATTGACATCACGCATTCTTCGATCAAGCACCAGAAGCACTCCCTTAATGTTTTGCAATTCTTGTTTACTTTTCTCAGAGGACAGCGGAACTCCATCTAGTGACCGTAGTTGAGTTTCCGCTCTATTAACGACTCCGTCGACATTTTGTAGCGCGTCGTAAAATTTTCTGGCGAGGGGAATAAGTTTGTTGATTTGTTCGTGTCGTTCTGTYACGCGATCGTTTACTTTTTGCCATCTTGGCTTGATATCGCTGTACAATTGCTCTACTTCCTGCCGGACTGGGGAATCTGGTTCGAAGTTGAGAATATTGTTGGCGTCTTTATCGATACTTTCGTAAGTTGGTTGGTGATGTCGCAAGTCCGTTCTGATGCCCTGAAACAAGAAAAAACAGTTAGTATAAACACAATTTCAATCGAACGGCTAAAAAAAAGGGTCGACTCCTTAGTAAGCAAGAGAAATCCTTGGATTCTATACTCTCTCGCCGATATACAATCTCCAAGTTAGAATAATTGAAAACGATTGTGGGAGCCAAAATAAAAGATGGCGATACATCACTTGAAAGAATAAAAAGCCCAATTGGATTTTTCTACGACGCCCTTATAAAACCAAAGTATAAGAGATGTTCTTGTTAAACTTATGACTGTGTGTAGGCGATGAGAAAATCACTTCCAACTACAGCCCCTTACCATGTGAGCAATTTCATCTTCTTTGAGTTTTAGAAGATCACAAGTGTAAGGTCTGACTCGTTCAAGGGAATCTTCGACACTCCTTAACCAGCCGCTGAATTGTTCCATAACATCTTGAATACGCTCGTACTCGACTGACATTGGTTTCACCTCTTCTAACGTCAAACCAGTCAAGTATTTCTTCTGCTCTCGAATGGCTCCTTCCAGGTCATGGAAATCTTTCTTTACTTTGTTTAGAGTTGTGGAGACTTCGGCTGGAATAACTGCATTTTCTGGACGTCCATCTGGGAGACTATTGGACGAAAAACATCATATCAAACCAATATAGACGATATCCGTGAGACATCTATTAGTGATATGCAGCACAAAATATGAGTACAAAACAAAAACCAAGACCAATACAAATGGACTCGCGGATTTTATCTTCGAGTGTTTAAAAGATCTCTCAAGAGTGAGCGTAGTTATTTTCACTAGTGAAAAATCAACCTAACGTAATGGAGAAATATAGATATTTTATAGATAATTATATGATAAAGATATTTCTTACACGTTGCAGTAAATCATTTTCTGTATACCCATTTATTTTTACATTTTTTTAAATAAAAGAGTACCAGGAATCAGAGCGTTCTACACATCATATTTACGAGTCGAGAGGGTTTTCAAAAYATTACTTACGTCACATTAGACTTYTGTGCATTTCTAATCAACCATTCTCCTGTGACGGTAGCTGACGTAAGAAGAGGTCGATTTTCTTCCATTTCATGGTGCAGATGCTACAATACATAACGTTAATATTCAGATATCTGTGCGGAGGCAAAGATTTTACAATGCAGATGTAACAATTGTAACATTAAGCAACCGAAGGCAGCAAGTGAGTCAACGCAATTGATGGAGTAAATTTTGAGGCAGTTTAACTTGAAACCTGTGGACAGCGTTCCAAGCATATAGTGGGCCTCGGTATAGCACGGTGTGCGAGAAGTGGCACTAAGCCAAGTGATGATGTAAGGCGTAGGGATATGATAATTCGATTAAATTTGTTCTTTCTGTGTCAAGGTCTAGTTATTATCTGACTACACTGTAGTCAGGTCATAGCTAATATCATTATAGGCCCAATGGGTACATAATATTGAGTACAAACTCACCTCTAATTCTCTAATTTTTGCTAAGATCGCAACTTTATCATTGGGATCAACCTTATCATTTTCAAGCTTGGCTTTCCGGGCTGCTATCTTATCCAAGAGGCCTCGTACAGCTCGTTGGAACTCGAGTGCCTGTTTGAGGTGATCCTGATAGTGCTCTTCATATGCTTCTATTTTGACTTTGATTTTTGATACTCGATCGTTGAGTGCCTTCAGTTGGTCCTGTATCCCTGAGGTAGCTGCGTCTGGACTGTCCAGAGCTGCAACATCTTCTCCTGCCTTTTGGGCCTTGTTGGAACATCGTTCAAGTTCTTCTTCCAAAGCCTGACAGGATTTTAAGTAAAATATTCACAAATGTTCTAATAATCACTTTATTAAGATTAAGCGGAAGATGGGGAGGGAGAGTTGGGCTGGGTTGGGTTATTGGACTCTCTTGCCTTTCATATAACACACTATCTATAACTATTGACTCTGCTAGTACAATCGACGCACCATTTTACCGGAACCGGAACCAACGCCGATAGGAAATCATAATGTGAAAAAAACGCGGTAACCAATCAAGGCACCGATATTAAAATCAGACGTCACATAATTTAAACAGTATTCTTCATTCTTCGCCATATCCTCAAGACGTCTGGCAGTTTAATGACATGAATGTAAACGTTTGGGATTTGCAAGTCTTAACGTGTTATGTTCAAAACGACACACCCCTAAAGTAATGATAGCCTTAGGCCTATACACCGTMAAACCAACACTATGTAACTATACATTCAACTATACATTTATGTAAGGACTGTAATTTTCTCTCCCAGATATTGACCATCATGTGCTACCAAAAATAAATAATTATTTTGAAATATTGTAATTCAGCTTATAATTAATCTACACAAGTAAAGAAGTAATGTAATTATGTGCACTGTTTCTTTTCTTTAAAATGCTCACTGTAAAAATCAAATAATAATTAAAAAAAAATTATATTAATTATTCTAAATTTCTGTATGAATTTAGCTCTACAAAAATATATCTTTACTATACATTTGTATTTGATACATTTGTATTTGGTGTGCCTAGAAAAATATGCTATACAACACGTTTACGAGTGATGATTTCGTTTTCAAACATGTCACACAAGATATTTTAGTTTATTCTCTTCATATTCTCTTCATCTTCGCATTGAATATAAATCATTCAATGCGGCACCATCTAACATAAGATACAGACAAAACAGAGAAGACTCCTAGTGAAACAGTTGTTAGGCAAATAATAGTGCCAACTAATAACTTTCAAATCAGTATGAGATTTTAATAATGCCATAGATTGTTTATCAGAAAAAAAAAATGAAAAAAAAACCCCGTAGATATAACGCACTGCACTTATTGAGAACCWTAAAAAAGATTCTCGCTTAAAAATATACTCGGAGATTTTTGTGTAATACAGTTGTTCCCTAGCAACAAGAGCAAGTCATGCAAACCTATTTTTGAAATGACAAAAATGTTTCATTATGCATATATGGTGGAATATAATATTTGGCACTATTCACTGGAAGTAAAATTTTAAAATTGTTTTTGAAAAATTTGAGACAATTTTGAAATATCAAATTTGATATGCTGAAATACACGTAAAAGAAATGGTATTGTCTTTTTTATAAAAATATCTTTAAATAAAAATAATTTCTTATATAAATTCATGTAATTTTGATTATTTTAATTTTTTTTGGCAATGGAAGTGTTTTCTAAAGTGAATTAGAATACCACTCGCTTACAGCCAATCAAAATGCAGAATTTAATTGAATTCATTATATAAAGAACTGAATACTTGCTGTCGCGATTCGTGTTAATGTCATCGAATTTTTACTGACTTCCACTTTATTGTACTCAAAATCTCATATCTGAGAAAACACAGGCAAAAATTATAAACTGCTAGAAGTACCAATAACGTACTGTATAGAAAACAATAATACAGAAAAGGTTAAAAAGCAACTGGCAATAAACAAATGAAAAGTAAACTTCTTGACAGGTTAGTCCATGATAAGTTGAAAGACAAACACAGGAATGAATACAGACATGGAGTATCAGATGAAGTTATGTACGGGCTTGTATATTTGACTTTAAGATAAAATATATGCAAATGTATAAAATAACATCCGTCAGAGTTCAAAGGCTYGGATCGTGTCTAGATATCAAGGACCATTAACATATCTTTCTTTTTAATCGTTTTTCTTTCGAATATAATTTTAATGCAATTTAGAACAATAAAAAAAGATGATACAATAAAATCAGTCTAGGGAAAAAAATGATTTTAGACACACGAAATAAATGTACTTGTTTTGCCTTTAATAAATCAATCAAATGGAACGTTTCCTTTTCCGTCTGAAAAAAAAATAATGCAAAATATACTGAAAGGATTTTTAAAAAAGATATTTATATTACGTAATAATAAACTGGTGAGCTATTATTGCCATTTTTCTTGTTATTTATAGAAATAGTTTCAAAATACATTCATTCACAGAATGTCATTCATAATTTCAGACCGCAAGACGACTCATGGAAAATGTCCAGTAATTATTCACGGTTGAAAATGATCATCGCTAAAAAAGGAACAGTAATTGATGACCAATTTGGACACAAAACTACGTTTGAAATTCCTTTCCTCAAAATACAAATCACAATAATTCAAAAAGATTGATCGCTCTAACAGCTCTTCTTAATCAAAACTGTTCCAGTGCAAGAAAGGAAAAAAAACAAAGAAAGCGATAAATGCGCCACAGTATAAATGAAATGTAACGCAACACTAAGAAATCGATTGTCTGATTTTAAGTCGAAGAATAACGCTGGAAAAGCCACTAAAAATGTTATGTATTAACACAACTAAACTGTTACCACAACGGTCAAATTATATTCATAGACATCGCTCTATGTACAAGTTAGCAACATCTACTCTAATCTGGAAAGCAAGTCAAAATCTATTGAAAAAGTATTGAATCTAAGATGRCACCGGGAAATAAAAMTTTCAATCCATTTACCTTCTTCGTGGGATATAATTGTTKAGATTTTCYTGAATAGAGACGTGGAGTGTACGCAAAATGTGTAATTGCCTTGCAAAAGTGTTCATCTTTGTTCGTAGATCCAATTTGTGTGTTTTGAATCGGATTTTTTGGCGAATATGGTCTCCACACCGTGATATATTTGAATGGTTCCGGTTGAGTAAAATCGCGACTTGAATTACAATTTGATTYATTCTCAAWTCGTGGTTTTCCTCTGCTGAATCGTTCAGTGGACGAACAGTTCCCATTCATTGGGGAAGCTTTTTTCAAATAATTAAAATTTTGTTTTTCCGGGCACGAAGCTGYGCTAGCAGCCTTTCCATAAACAATATACCGAACATTTGTAGCTTGGTAATTTGTCTCCTCTTTTGACACTTTTCCGACAGTTTTCGTTTGTGGAAMAAAACTCCCATTCAAATCTACCGCTCCATTCCAAGTTGTCCTTATCCCTTCACTTCTGTTAACCTCAACAGTAGTACCGTAGCTAGAGCCGAGTACAAGTGGAAGTGAGTCTAATGAACACGCAAAGGTAGAAGGATAAACTCCGGTTTCTAATCCTCTGTGTGACGAGGATCCGCTTTCAGAAGAACATTCACTGCCTAGACCTTCATCTCCTGTTTCTAATTCCTCGCTCTCCATTGTAAGAACTTTAGTTTTCTCGTTGTATGTCGTCTTGTGGTTCTCTCATAATCGGCCTGGTTTACCGCTCACACTCCTTTATCGACTATACTTTATGACAAATAAAATCCTAATCCACAACGCGTAATATTTATATTTGACGTTCTCTGATGAATCATCCTTGTCTGTAGAAAACGAGCGATCGACATTAGCTTGGTGTATTTTCGTTGATAAGACCTGTTTCCCTAATTATGCATTCACAAGCGATCTGCATTTCACCGTGGTGATAGTGTCATGTCGCTTTGTTTGAGTAAGCGCGCGTTGTGACTCGTTCTATTTTCAATGAACGTCAATCTGAATCACTTATCTCAGTCATTCAAAACCACATAATAGACACGCGAGYATTATTCTCTTCTACTTTCCAATAGAAAAAGCAACAATAAATTCAACTGTATCGTTAACAACCCGATAAAATAGCTACATAGCATAATTTAAGGGAGTAAACCCGTAATTACATTTTTTTATATAATTGTTTGCGAACCAGGCGAGTACAAAGACAACTTCAAGTGCTTTTTATCAAAACTGTCGGYRACATTTTTGGTTGTTTTTTAARTAATAAACAAAGCAAGTTTTACAGGAARAAAATTCAAACCCCTCCATTGAAAAACATTTATGAATGAAAMC